CGATTTAATGGCTAAAAAAGCAGAAAACCCATTTTATAACAGAAATTTGCAATACTATGTTCGGGTTATTAGCTCTAGCTCGGTCAAAACAAGACGCAGAGCCAAAAGAACAACTGTTTTGTGCTGCTAACGACCAAAACTTTAAACCCCTATACTAGCTTTTTGCGTTATTGTTCTGATTTGTTGCTGCGAGTGCCGATTTAATGGCTAAAAAAGCAGAAAACCCATTTTTAACAGAAATTTGCAATACTATCTTTGGCTTTTTCGCTCTAGCTCGGTCAAAACAAGACGCAGAGCCAAAAGAACAACTGTTTTGTGCTGCTAACGACCAGCACTAACCACCCCTATCACTCGTTTTTTGATTTTGGGAATTTCAATTTTGGCCCAAATTTCGCATTTTTGATAAGGGGTACCATCATCAAAATTTTCAAAAATGGGCCAAAAATGAAGTTTCCCAGATTTAAATGCAAATCAATTGGGAATCATGGCAATCAAATTACGAGCCCTACGAGGTATTACATTCCTCATTTGGGCCATTTTTGGCTGTGCCATGGCCAAAAACTGATTTTTTTGGTGCCTAAAGTTATGCTACATCTTTTGCTAGCAGAGAGCACGGTTTTGTTGCCGTTTCTTAGCTCTAACTTTGTCAAAACAAGACGCACGCCTAAAACAATAACTGTTTTATGCAGCTAACAACCAAAACTTTAAACCCCTATACTAGCTTTTTGCGTTATTGTTCTGATTTGTTGCTGCGAGTACCGATTTAATGGCTAAAAAAGCAGAAAACCCATTTTTAACAGAAATTTGCAATACTATCTTCGGCTTTTTAGCTCTAGCTCGGTCAAAACAAGACGCAGAGCCAAAAGAACAACTGTTTTGTGCTGCTAACAACCAAAACTTTAAACCCCTATACTAGCTTTTTGCGTTATTGTTCTGATTTGTTGCTGCGAGTGCCGATTTAATGGCTAAAAAGCAGAAAACCCATTTTATAACAGAAATTTGCAATACTATGTTCGGGTTATTAGCTCTAGCTCGGTCAAAACAAGACGCAGAGCCAAAAGAACAACTGTTTTGTGCTGCTAACAACCAAAACTTTAAACCCCTATACTAGCTTTTTGCGTTATTGTTCTGATTTGTTGCTGTGAGTGCCGATTTAATGGCTAAAAAGCAGAAAACCCATTTTTAACAGAAATTTGCAATACTATCTTCGGCTTTTTAGCTCTAGCTCGGTCAAAACAAGACGCACGCCTAAAACAATAACTGTTTTATGCAGCTAACAACCAAAACTTTAAACCCCTATACTAGCTTTTTGCGTTATTGTTCTGATTTGTTGCTGCGAGTACCGATTTAATGGCTAAAAAAGCAGAAAACCCATTTTAACAGAAATTTGCAATACTATCTTCGGCTTTTTAGCTCTAGCTCGGTCAAAACAAGACGCAGAGCCAAAAGAACAACTGTTTTGTGCTGCTAACAACTAAAACTTTAAACCCCTATAATAGCTTTTTGCGTTATTGTTCTGATTTGTTGCTGTGAGTGCCGATTTAATGGCTAAAAAAGCAGAAAACCCATTTTTAACAGAAATTTGCAATACTATGTTGCTTTTTTTAGCTCTAGTTTTGAAGCTCGGTCAAATCAAGACGCACGCCTAAAACAATAACTGTTTTATGCAGCTAACAACCAAAACTTTAAACCCCTATACTAGCTTTTTGCGTTATTGTTCTGATTTGTTGCTGCGAGTACCGATTTAATGGCTAAAAAAGCAGAAAACCCATTTTTAACAGAAATTTGCAATACTATCTTCGGCTTTTTAGCTCTAGCTCGGTCAAAACAAGACGCAGAGCCAAAAGAACAACTGTTTTGTGCTGCTAACAACCAAAACTTTAAACCCCTATACTAGCTTTTTGCGTTATTGTTCTGATTTGTTGCTGCGAGTGCCGATTTAATGGCTAAAAAGCAGAAAACCCATTTTTAACAGAAATTTGCAATACTATCTTTGGCTTTTTCGCTCTAGCTCGGTCAAAACAAGACGCAGAGCCAAAAGAACAACTGTTTTGTGCTGCTAACAACCAAAACTTTAAACCCCTATACTAGCTTTTTGCGTTATTGTTCTGATTTGTTGCTGTGAGTGCCGATTTAATGGCTAAAAAGCAGAAAACCCATTTTTAACAGAAATTCGCAATACTATGTTCGGGTTATTAGCTCTAGCTCGGTCAAAACAAGACGCAGAGCCAAAAGAACAACTGTTTTGTGCTGCTAACGACCAGCACTAACCACCCCTATCACTCGTTTTTCGATTTTGGGAAATTCAATTTTGGCCCAAATTTCGCATTTTTGATAAGGGGTACCATCATCAAAATTTTCCAAAATGTGCCAAAAATGAAGTTTCCCAGATTTGAATGCAAATCAATTGGGAATCATGGCAATCAAATTACGAGCCCTACGAGGTATTACATTCCTCATTTGGTCCATTTTAGGCTGTGCCATGGCCAAAAAACTGATTTTTTTTGTGCCCAAAGTTATGCTACATCTTTTGCCAGCAGAGAGCACGGTTTTGTTGCCGTTTCTTAGCTCTAACTTTGTCAAAACAAGACGCACGGGTAAAACAATAACTGTTTTATGCAGCTAATAACCAAAACTTTAAACCCCTATACTAGCTTTTTGCGTTATTGTTCTGATTTGTAGCTGCGAGTGCCGATTTAATAGCTACAAAAGCAGAAAACCCATTTTTAACAGAAATTTGCAATACTATGTTCGGGTTATTAGCTCTAGCTCGGTCAAAACAAGACGCAGAGCCAAAAGAACAACTGTTTTGTGCTGCTAACGACCAGCACTAACTACCCCTATCACTCGTTTTTCGATTTTGGGAAATTCAATTTTGGCCCAAATTTCGCATTTTTCATCAAAATTTTCAAAAATGGGCCAAAAATGAAGTTTCCCAGATTTGAATGCAAATCAATTGGGAATCATGGCAATCAAATTAAGAGCCCTACGAGGTATTACATTCCTCATTTGGGCCATTTTTGGCTGTGCCATGGCCAAAAACTGATTTTTTTGGTGCCTAAAGTTATGCTACATCTTTTGCTAGCAGAGAGCACGGTTTTGTTGCCGTTTCTTAGCTCTAACTTTGTCAAAACAAGACGCACGCCTAAAACAATAACTGTTTTATGCAGCTAACAACCAAAACTTTAAACCCCTATACTAGCTTTTTGCGTTATTGTTCTGATTTGTTGCTGCGAGTGCCGATTTAATGGCTACAAAAGCAGAAAACCCATTTTTAACAGAAATTTGCAATACTATCTTTGGCTTTTTCGCTCTAGCTCGGTCAAAACAAGACGCAGAGCCAAAAGAACAACTGTTTTGTGCTGCTAACAACCAAAACTTTAAAGCCCTATACTAGCTTTTTGCGTTATTGTTCTGATTTGTTGCTGCGAGTGCCGATTTAATGGCTAAAAAAGCAGAAAACCCATTTTATAACAGAAATTTGCAATACTATGTTCGGGTTATTAGCTCTAGCTCGGTCAAAACAAGACGCAGAGCCAAAAGAACAACTGTTTTGTGCTGCTAACAACCAAAACTTTAAACCCCTATACTAGCTTTTTGCGTTATTGTTCTGATTTGTTGCTGTGAGTGCCGATTTAATGGCTAAAAAAGCAGAAAACCCATTTTTAACAGAAATTTGCAATACTATCTTCGGCTTTTTAGCTCTAGCTCGGTCAAAACAAGACGCAGAGCCAAAAGAACAACTGTTTTGTGCTGCTAACGACCAGCACTAACCACCCCTATCACTCGTTTTTCGATTTTGAGAAATTCAATTTTGGCTCAAATTTCGCATTTTTGATAAGGGGTACCATCATCAAAATTTTCAAAAATGGGCCAAAAATGAAGTTTCCGAGATTTGAATGCAAATCAATTGGGAATCATGGCAATCAAATTACGAGCCCTACGAGGTATTACATTCCTCATTTGGGCCATTTTTGGCTGTGCCATGGCCAAAAAACTGATTTTTTTGGTGCCCAAAGTTATGCTACATCTTTTGCTAGCAGAGAGCACGGTTTTGTTGCCGTTTCTTAGCTCTAACTTTGTCAAAACAAGACGCACGGCTAAAACAATAACTGTTTTATGCAGCTAACAACCAAATTTGCAATACTATCTTCGGCTTTTTAGCTCTAGCTCGGTCAAAACAAGACGCAGAGCCAAAAGAACAACTGTTTTATGCAGCTAACAACCAAAACTTTAAACCCCTATACTAGCTTTTTGCGTTATTGTTCTGATTTGTTGCTGCGAGTGCCGATTTAATGGCTACAAAAGCAGAAAACCCATTTTTAACAGAAATTTGCAATACTATCTTTGGCTTTTTAGCTCTAGCTCGGTCAAAACAAGACGCAGAGCCAAAAGAACAACTGTTTTGTGCTGCTAACAACCAAAACTTTAAACCCCTATACTAGCTTTTTGCGTTATTGTTCTGATTTGTTGCTGCGAGTGCCGATTTAATGGCTAAAAAAGCAGAAAACCTATTTTATAACAGAAATTTGCAATACTATGTTCGGGTTATTAGCTCTAGCTCGGTCAAAACAAGACGCAGAGCCAAAAGAACAACTGTTTTGTGCTGCTAACAACCAAAACTTTAAACCCCTATACTAGCTTTTTGCGTTATTGTTCTGATTTGTTGCTGCGAGTGCCGATTTAATGGCTACAAAAGCAGAAAACCCATATTTAACAGAAATTTGCAATACTATCTTTGGCTTTTTAGCTCTGGCTCGGTCAAAACAAGACGCAGAGCCAAAAGAACAACTGTTTTGTGCTGCTAACAACCAAAACTTTAAACCCCTATACTAGCTTTTTGCGTTATTGTTCTGTTTTGTTGCCGTTTCTTAGCTCTAACCAAAACTAATATTTAATTACTCTGTAGGTCTGAAAGCAATAGTGATAAGTGCACCAAAAGCATTATTTCTATTCAATTGTTGCTAAAATATTTAATATAGTTATTATCCAACTTGCAGCATTTGAACAACAAGCGCAACATGAACAACAGCAGCAACATGAACAACAGCAGTAGCAGCATCACACTCACCAACAACAACAACCACAGCCTGCTGAATCGCAATAAGTCGCATTCGATTATTGGATTGCATAGCAGCAAATACGAGTCCTCGGTGAAGGACAACTACAGTTCGAAGAATGTGAATCTGAAGAATCAGCTCCTGAACGGCGGCATCAAGAGCGATACCTACGAGAGCGTCTGTCCGCCCGAGGATGTGGCCGAGCGGACCAAGCAAACGCACAAGAACTCCATGATCCGTAACAATCTGACGGATGCCTCGACCAACAACAACAATAACAATAACAACATGAGCGGCAGCATCAGCAACTTGAGCAACATGAACGGCGGAAATCAGAGCAGCAGGAATCTCAAGCGGGTCTCCTCGGCTCCACCAATGCAAAATTTGGCAGTGGGTAAGTTGGCACCTAAAAGTGTCTTGCTAAGGCTTTAGGTAATCTAAAATCTGTCTCATATCCTTTAGTTAATGGACCTCCTCCTCCACCCTTGCCGCCACCACTGAGGGCTCCCGTTCAACAGCAACGCAACAATTTGAACTCCGACCAGCCGAACAATATGAACGGCAGCAATAGCATCTACAAGAAGAATGTCTTTGGGCCGAATCAGGGTCCAAATAATGTCAATGGGGGAGGCGGTGCAGCCCCTCCACCAGTTCCAGCTCCTAATCCTGTGGCCACTGAAGCCGTCGATTCGGATTCGGGACTCGAGGTGGTCGAGGAGCCCAGTCTAAGGCCATCAGAATTGGTGCGCGGCAATCACAATCGCACTATGTCCACCATTTCGGGTGAGTCCTAGACTAGAGCCACTTTTTAAAGGGGGTGTGCAAGGTAAGAGAGGATACTAAAGGATACTACTACTTAAAAGCTGATGAAAAGAGGCAACATTATTAATTTATTAAAGTTCACTGCGAACGTTGGCCAGGTCTTTGAACTCTGGGAATATAGGAGGTGGTTCCGCATCGTCAATCGCCTGTGACTGTCCAGTGTCCAGTGTCTACTGTCCACAGTCCGCTTTGATTGATCAATTAGGGGAAATTCGCCAGTCATGTTCAACCAGAGAGGGGGAAATGGCAGTGAAGTGCCCTGCAGTAAAGAAAAACTGAAAACGAGTTGGCCAAAGCAGAACCTGATCTCTCAGCGGTAGTCGATGGCTGTCCATCAGATGGGATAATGATTACATCTTGATTGAAGTGTTGGCTTTCGAGGAGTGCGAGCTATTTGTGGTGTTGGCAAAGCCATACAAATAACGTCGTCAATTTGGCAAAAATTATTAATTAGGAGGTTAGTGAAGGATGAGCAGGGGGTTTCCCCTTTGTAGCTAAGATCTCTGCCATTTCAAGACCTATGACTCAAGGGTAAAATTCCTACTAATTACTCTAAAATCTAAATAGTCGTTTTCCTAGTCGATTTGCTACGAAAAAAACAAAACAATAATCCTCATTATCACACAATAAATATCAGGTATTTACCTAATTGCCACAAAAGTCGTAACTACGCAAAAATAAACAACATGAAAAAGCGAATGAAAAACTGAAAAATGCGAATAATACTTGCCATGTTTGACATGTGTTGGCTCCGATTTTCCATTTGTTAATTGCCCATTATGTCCGATGGGGCAGGTGAAATGGAGAGAGGCTTTAATGGAGCCGACGTTCACACGATAAGGCGGCAAAGATCCGTGGAAAATGTGGCCAAAACAAAGAAGTGGAAGTTGGGCCTCACGTTGGAAAAGTGGAAAAGTGAAAAAGTGAAAAAGTGGAAGTGCCAGCGATTGAAAACAATCCCAGCCACTTGACTGCCGTATGAGGGGCACAAGTCATGAGATATGAACTACACTGGGGGAAAACTTAAAGCAATCTTAACAAAATGTATCTCAAATGTGAAGTTCTATGTAGGAATTAGAGAGCAGACAAGACTACTAAGGATGTTATATATATTATTATATATATTTCCTTCTAGGAATTTATCTTCGACCTTTCCCTATGTATGGCCACCTTACAGAAACTTATTATGGGAAAACCTCTTCCTTCAATCGATAACTTCAGCTAAGTGAAACTGATTATGGGAAATCTTTTTGTTGACTCTCTGAGCCAACCTTATTGCCAATTGTCGTTGGGTTGAGAGGCCTTCAAAGAGACATGCATGCTTATACCATAATACCATGTCTGCACTGGTCATATGGCGTATCCCCGATTTGCGATGAGGAAGCAATTTGCCAGCCACTAGTCGCAAATGTCCCACACACACTCACTCTCGTATTGGCCATAATAATTGGCGACCGGTGAACCACCACCCGCACCACCGCCCACATATATGCCACGCCTCCGTGGCGGCAATCGGCTCGTGGATCTGCAGTCTGCGAAACTTTTACCCACGAAAGTGAACGTGTTTTGCGAAGCGGTCTCTCTCTCTCCGTTGGATATCCAATGTGGCGATCCGTCGTCGTCGTCGTCGTCTTGGGTGAATAACTTTGGCGATGGCTTGAACCCAGTTCAGGTGGCCAACGGAGCTCGCCCAGGCAACATCGTCACCCGAAGTTAGAGCCGCGTCTTCAGGGTTTTCCTTGCCTTGACTTTTCCGGTCATAAATATTAACACGAAACTCCTGATAATGTGCTTGGTTTTAGTACAGTAAATACGCGTACACAATGAACATGCTGGGCTCGGTTAAAATGCACAAGAATTCGCGTCGAAATTATTTCACGCTTAGCTTTCATCGGTTCGATATATTTCGGTGTAAGTGATTGGGAAAACTATCTAACGTATTGTGAAGGATACCGAAGGGATGTGTGGCCTGTGAAGTGATTTTTGTTTTATATGTTACGATATATCTTACGATATCTGTGATGGGATGGCTGCTTAGAACAGCTTCCCAAGTTAAGGGCCTTTGTTATTTGTCATAACAAGTTTGAAAGTGGTGCCTCAAAGTGATAGAAATTTGTATTTGCCTTCTTACAAAACTTACTTAAGATAAAGTGTTAAACTTTCCTACAAATAATAATAAAATCCTTGGTTAATGTTTTCCCACGGAAGTTCAAAGGAAGAAAGTGGCAAACTGAAACAATATGTTCTTCAGATTGATCTATATCCTTTCCAATTTGTTTTTGGTGTTGATTTAATGAACTTCTTAACTTCAATGAGTCAAACCATCAGCTTGTCAATCCTTTTGCCAGCCTATAACTTTAGTTAACAACACCCAATTAAAAGTAAAAGCTTAAACAGCACTTAAAGTCAACCAACAAACTATACTATCTAACGAAAAGAAGAACACAGCTTTAAAAAATGTACAGCTAACTATCTTTTTTTGGTGGCATCTCAAGAGCGAGGCACATAAATTAGTTTGATTTATATCTCACTGCGCTGGCCAGGCACATTCAACTCGTAAAACAGCCAACGATACCGAACTGGACTTGCACTCCAGTTTCCAATTTCACCGCGAACTTGACAAGTACAAACCGCTTTTAAAGTTTTTTGTTTTTAGTTTTTTCTTCGCACAAATTAATAGATAAAATGTGTGGAGACATGTGGAAAAATGCGCATTTCGTTCGCTCTTTTTTTGAGTCTTTTTGTCCGATCGAATAAATAAATGCAATGCAAACTGGCTGGACTTGATTGGCAGTGGTTTTGGCCATAACAGTCTGATAGCCATGAATCCGCAGCAACCACGTAATGATTGGCATGGAAACGGGTTAACCAAAAGGCCGTGAAAGTTGGGGACTCGCGATGCGATCGGGTTTAGATGGTGTATTTGGCCAATTAACCGGCTGCCAGGAAAATTCAATACGGGCGCGACACAAAGAGGCGACCCATGGTTATTTCCATGGAAACGTCGGGCAATTCAATTTTTATGGGCATACTCCCACGACAACGACACCCCCAGCTATTCTTCCGTGTCGGGGGATAATCAGCCAGCCGTCAGAAAGTTTTCCCAGGAAGCTGCAAGCCTTTCATCTTAATCGCTTAATCTTTATCCATGCTAGCAATAGGGAAGAGATTTAAGTATATATGAGGTATGGTTAAACCCAATCTCGAATCTTAATTAGGTTCTACCACAACCAATACGAACCTTAAGCACATTTAAATTCCTATCTCGTGTAGACTTCCTTATCTTATCGCCTGTCTAATGGAACTTTTTGCTCTGCTCCCTCTTTAGGGTCTATCTAATTATAATACATGATTACATTATCTGTAACCAATTAGCAATCATATCCCAGGCTATTCAACTTTAAGACTGAGGAGTGCTTTCAGTACTCATGGACTTGGATGTATAGGCTTTTATATCAATAACAAGATTGTAGGGAACTTAAAAGGAGCTATTATTTATTACGTTTTAAGCAGTTTAATTAGCCATTAAAATACAAAATATAGAAATCATTAAGAGATTATGGTATATCAAGCTCAGCTCATGACTAATTTGAAAATCAGGAAACGAGTTTAATTTTATTACATTTTTAATACCCAGAATTTATTGCCCGTTTAGTGGCTCCGTTTTTCTTAGTTACTGTTATTAGGCTACTGCCACAATGTAATTTATTTGATTTAGTTAGTTTAGATGCAACTCTTGGTTTTATATGCAACTGGGTCTCCGTCTGCGTCTCCCCTGGAAATCTCCGTCTGGTGAAAGGCACCTACGCAGCGATCCATTGTGGTTGGCTTTTCGGATTTTCCTCTGTTTTCTGTATTTTAACTTTATTTGCTGGCTGCTCAAGTTAGCATGACCAGAGTCAGACTGATAACTGCTAACCCACAAAACTCATAAATAAATTGGTTCAATTCCAGCGAACAAGAAAGCCAAGCTCCTCAATGCCAACAGCACAAATGGAGTGAGTACGGTCAATGCGGAGGAATCACGAGGATCGGGAGGATCGGGGAATGCTGCTAGTGTAGGCGGATCGAATGCCCATTTCTATGGCTATTCAGAGGGACCCAAAGGTCAAAGGAGCATTGCGAATGGCAATCCCAATGGCAACTATCCCAATCAACAGCCACATTATCCGACTGGCCAACCGCATCAGTATACGCCCAGTCTGTATGGTGGTGGCTCCTCGGCCGAGGATCACTACGAACTCACCCAACAGCAGCAGCAGATCTACGGGGAAACCGGGCATTTGGCCGGCGGACAACGGACCGGCGGACCCAATCTGGTCAACAAGCAGCTCGTGCTGCCGTTTGTACCGCCCAGTTTTCCCAATAAATCACAAGACGGCGTCACGCATCTCATCAAGCCGTCCGAGTATCTCAAGAGCATCAGCATCGACAAGCGTTCGTGTCCATCCTCCGCCCGGTAAGTGGTCACTCCTCTCACTCCCCTGATCTCCCATAGATATATCCTCTATCCTCCGACTTTCAATTAGCACATGGCAGCCGTTTTAATTTGGCTGCACATCTCGTGCAGCGGCTTTTATAATTAGTATCGGCGGTACAGTTGCCTCGCCTCAATTAGCCAAAATCCAAAAAGCAAAAAAAAAACATATAAAATAAGATACATGGCTGGCAAGACGGTTGACTGCGGCTGGGCAATTAGCAGCTAGCAGATGGCTAGATCTCAGTGCTGAGCAGGTTTTTCCAGCTGGAAAATAGCTAAAGAAAATCTAACTAAATATCTATTGTTTAAAGAAATGTAAGCCTAGCTTCGGGGAAAAGCTAAATGCTGAGCACTTTAGCTGGAAGATTCGCCACTTCCTCTGCCGCTCAAGAGTGCATGAAATTTTATGCGTGCCACTTTGCAGCCTGCCACTTTTCTTGCCACAGTTGCGATGTTGCTGCTGCCACTGCAACTCAGTTGCAATCCAAAGATGATACTGCGCACACGCCACGCCTGGTGCAGGTCCGCCTATCGCCCACCGCCCACCGCGCACTGTCCATAGCCCATAGCCCATGACCAACTGGTCAACACCACCACCCACCTCCCATCATTTCCCAGTGAAAGTAGCCAAGATCTCTCTCGGTAATCCAGCACTTTTCCCTCTTCTTTTCGTCCACAAATAGCTCCACGGATACGGAGGACTACATGCAGATACAGATCGCCCAGCAGCAGCAGGTTCACCATTCGCAGCTCCACTCGCAGCATCCGCAGTCGCATCAGCATCCGCACCATTCCCATCCTCACCCACATCCGCATCATCCTCATCAGCTGCATGGAATGGGCGAGCAGCCGCCGTTGCCTCCACCACCGCCGCCGTTGCCCCACGGAATGTTGCCACCACAACCACCGATGGGTCCACCGATGGGCGTGGCAGGCGGCCAGGATGCCACCATGTCTGGCAAATCGCACAAGCCCAAGAAGCCGCATGGATCGGCGCCTAACAGCCAGGATACGGCCACCAGGAAGCAGCACCAGCCACTCTCGGCCATCTCTATTCAGGATCTGAACAGCGTCCAGGTGAGCGAACCATTTTTGTGTTGAGAAGTGCAATTAATAATCCCTCATTTCCAATCTCAATACCCTCCAGCTCCGTCGCACAGATACCCAGAAGGTGCCGAAGCCTTACCAGATGCCCGCTCGCAGCCTGAGCATGCAGTGCTTAACCACCAGCACGGATACCTATCTCAAGTCCGACCTGATTGCCGAGCTGAAGATCTCCAAGGATATACCGGGCATCAAGAAGATGAAGGTGGAACAGCAGATGGCCAATCGAATGGACTCGGAGCACTATATGGAGATTACCAAGCAGTTCTCGGGCAATAACTATGTGGACCAGGTGAGTTTTGGCCAGCTGATGGCAGCTGATGATCAGACGAACGGTGGCTAAGAGGCGAGTCAAAGATCTACTTGCAGATTCCGGAACGGGATCAGGCCGGCAATGCCATACCCGACTGGAAGCGCCAGATGATGGCCAAGAAGGCGGCCGAGCGGGCCAAGAAGGACTTTGAGGAGCGTATGGCCCAGGAAGCGGAATCGCGCCGTCTCTCCCAGATACCCCAATGGAAACGGGATCTATTGGCCCGGCGCGAGGAAACGGAGAATAAGCTGAAGTAAGTGGGTGTACGGCTAGTGGGGAGTCTCCTGACCCCTGGCCTCAATTGTCTGACCTTCTTCTAGGGCGGCCATCTACACGCCCAAGGTGGAGGAGAACAACCGGGTGGCGGACACTTGGCGTCTGAAGAACCGCGCCATGTCCATCGACAACATAAACATCAACCTGGCCGGCATGGAGCAGCACTACCAGCAGATTCAGTTCCAGCAGCAGCACCAGCAGCAGCAACTCCAGTTGGGCAACAAGGAGAATCATGGCGATCTGAAGGGTGCTGATCAGGACCAGGAGCAGGGCGGCGTTGGCGGTGGCGTCGGTGGAGTTCAGGAGCTTAACGAACCATCGGAGGGCAGCCAGGGCCATGCTGAGGAGGAGGAGGACAACATCATCCCGTGGCGTGCCCAGCTGCGCAAGACCAACAGTCGCCTTAGCCTGATCTAATAACTGATATATCCATATATCCAAAACCCAAAAACAACCCATCCTAACACTCGACTCCTAAGCGGTGCATTTTTTTTTTTGTTTTTTTGTTTGTCGACTAACTTAAAGAGCATGTGCAATTATTATAAAATTAAAATTGGGAACCCTAATATATAAAAAACAAAAACTAAGCCTAAGTTGTAGCTACTTACATTGTACTATATGCATTATCGTATAACCTATTAACCTATTACTACACCTAATTGTACTCGAGATATTTTTTGTGGCAAAAAGAATGAATATTTGTTATTCCTACTAGGGGGCAGTTCGGTATCGCAAGGCGAACAACCGTATATATCTAATCTTAACTGCTGTCCTTGAGTTCTATTTCGGTGTTGTATTTTTTATCACTTTTACTCTCGATTATTTTATATTATTTTTTTTTTTATCATTGTGACTCGGCTTGAATTTATAAAGTATGGCATTAATTTAATTGACTCGGTTAAGCATTTTTTTATTGTTATTTGTTTTTATATACGCGGCTCAAAATAGATTATTATTAATTACATAAATACATATTACATCTATGAATAAACAAGCGAACGAATGAATCAATAAATAAATATATATACAATTTAAGCGCCGATACTTACATAAAAACCCTCCAGAAATCACCTTACCAAATTCCCAAACCAATTAAAAAAAATCATTTTCCCAGTCAATTTGGTTGGGAGTTCAGATACCAGGCGAACAGAAACAGCAGCAAGCAGCTACTGTTTTCTGTGAGCTTTGTTTTTTTTCAAGATGGCTACCTTTTTAAGATGGTTGCCTTTGCAGCCCAAAACATAAACAAGAGATGAGCAACCACGTTGTTTTCTGTGTCGTCTCACGAGTTCAGCACGATAATCACGAAAAAGCAATTAAATCCTATGTATTTCATTCGATCGTGTCGAATACCACGGCTCACGTGGCCATCTCTAAGTGTCACTCCTGTCTGGATGGAAACCGTTAGTCTGGAGCCCAAAACATAAACAAGAGATGAGCAACCACGTTGTTTTCTGTGTCGTGTCACGACCTTACAACGACAAGCACGAAATAATAATAGTCCCATGTAATTTATTCGGTCGTGTCGAAAAATAGTACTCACGTGGCCGTCCCTATGTGGAGCTCATAAATTTCAAGATGGCTGCCTTTTCAAGATGGTTGCCATCGCAGACAAAAACATAAGCAAGAGATGAGCAACCACGTTGTTTTTTGTGTCGACTCACGAGATTAGCACGATAATCACGAAATAATATTAAGGTCCCATGTAATTTATTCGATCGTGTCGAAAAGCAGTGCTCACGTGGCCATCCCAAATTGGAGCTCATAAATTTAGCGATTTCCACCTACTACTCGATTCTGTTCGCCTGGTATTTTAAAGGCATCAGCTAGCCAAAATGCGTTGAAAATTTTGATCAGAAAATAATTTTTTCTCGGTCAAATTGGTAATTTTAGGAGTTCAGATACCAGGCGAACAGAAACGGCAGCAAGCAGCTACTGTTTTCTGGGAGACTGTGTTTTTTTTTCAAGATGGCCGCCTTTTCAAGATGGTTGCCGTTGTCACTGGATGGAAACCGTTAGTTTGCAGGCCAAAACATAAACAAGAGATGGGCAACCACGTTGTTTTTTGTGTCGACTCACGAGATTAGCACGATAATCACGAAATAATATTAAGGTCCCATGTAATTTATTCGATCGTGTCGAAAAGCAGTGCTCACGTGGCCATCCCAAATTGGAGCTCATAAATTTAGCGATTTCCACCTACTACTCGATTCTGTTCGCCTGGTATTTTAAAGGCATCAGCTAGCCAAAATGCGTTGAAAATTTTGATCAGAAAATAATTTTTTCTCGGTCAAATTGGTAATTTTAGGAGTTCAGATACCAGGCGAACAGAAACGGCAGCAAGCAGCTACTGTTTTCTGGGAGACTGTTTTTTTTTCAAGATGGCCGCCTTTTCAAGATGGTTGCCGTTGTCACTGGATGGAAACCGTTAGTTTGCAGGCCAAAACATAAACAAGAGATGGGCAACCACGTTGTTTTTTGTGTCGACTCACGAGATTAGCACGATAATCACGAAATAATATTAAGGTCCCATGTAATTTATTCGATCGTGTCATAAACAGTGCTCACGTGGCCATCCCTAATTGGAGCTCATAAATTTAGCGATTTCCACCTACTATTCGATTCTGTTCGCCTGGTATTTTAAAGGCATCAGCTAGCCAAAATGCGTTGAAATTTTGATCAGAAAAAATAATTTTTTCTCAGTCAAATTGGTAATTTTGAGAGTTCAGATACCAGGCGAACAGAAACAGCAGCAAGCAGATACTGCTTTCTGGGAGCAAAAACTTTTTCAAGATGGCTGCCACTTCTGCGTGGTATATTTTTCTTTTCAAGATGGCTACCATTGTCCGCCATCATTGTTATTGAAGAAGGCAGAAGCTAGAGATGGGCAACCACGTTGTTTACTGTGTTAAATCACGAGATAAGCACGAAAAGCACGAAATAACATTTAAATCCTTTGTATTTCATACTTTCGTGCCCAAAAACAGTACTCACGTGCACACCCCTAGGAACAATGTAAATAATCTCACCAGCTGGTCGTTTTACACTTGCTAGTTGCTTCTGTTCGCCTGGTAAAATCAAGAAATCTCGCTTTTTCGCTTCCAATTTGGCCTTATGGGAATTATGCGAGATTTTTACCTACCTTTTGAAGGAAATTCCAGTATGTTTATTTATGCAAACCACTTGTCAATAAAAGTTAATGTGTTTATGCTCAAAATCTCATGGTTTTATTTGAAATTTTTTTTTACGAATTTACGTCATGCTGGCGATGCAGGTCTTGACGTTTGGCACGAAAGCGTTGCAACCATCAACAACCTTATTGGTGGCATCGACGTAACAGGCGGCAGTCTTGAAGGGCAGAGCGTGTCCGTCCTTGATCATTACGTTCATGTTGCGCACAATGGACATGGTGGCATAGAAGAGCTTTAGGGTGCAACGGAGGAAGCTCTTGGTAGCGGAGACAACGCCTCGGGAAGAGCTGGCACAGATCTCGTCCAGGTTGAGGATCTTTTGGCTCTTGACGATTATCTGCTTGGCATTGCTCAAAATAGCCTTAACATCGGTGGGAATGTTACCGGTGCAGGTGGCCAGGTCGTCGACGTACCCGGTGCAGGTCAGCAGAAGAATGCCGACCTCCTCGACGATGCACTTGGTGCCGTTGATGCCCTTGTAGCCAGCCCACAGAATTTTGCGGCAGTCATTGATGAAGCCGAACTCCTCGACGCCCATAAATTCTTCCTCCATAGCGTTCAGCTCATAGGCGATCATCTCCTCCAGCTCGGCATCGGTGAAGGTGTCAAGAGCAGCTAAGGCCTCAAGGGCATCGAATTTCTCGTAGTTACCCAAGGCATTGGCCTAGAAATAGACGAGTATTTTGTTTTAAGGCACAGAATTATTGCTTTGTAACCAAAAAATAAAAAATAAAAAAAAGTATAAAATAAAAAAAAAATTGTTTTTTTGATTTTGTTTTTGTCACACTTTTTGGCTTCATCAACTTTCCGACTTAGGCACTTCAAGAATTTTTTGTGTTTAATTTTTGGCCACTTTCCGTGGCAACCGACTGACTTACGTTAGCGGTGGTCAGGATGAAGCTGGCCGAGGCCACGATCAGGAGGCACAGGTTGATCACTTTCATGTTGCTGGTGGATGGTTTCACTGGCGAATGTTTGTTGATCGATCCGTGGGGTTTGTTTATATAGAAGATCCAAGGTGGCCGTATCAGTTAAGTGGCGATCCGACTGCTCCGATTTGGCCATATACTTTAGTAAATGAATATACCATTGATATGTATGGTTTAATTAAGACACCACCCAAAGTCCGAAACTAATTTGGCATTATCTATGCAGCGTGGACACACAATGGGTGATAGCCAGATAGCCAGATTGCCGGGGGCTTCCACCAGAGAGTGGTGCTGATATCAAAGGCTCGGGAAGATCGCCACCAGATAGGTATGCCCATATCTTGGACTCGTTCTCGATGCTGCACCTGCACAATCGACTGTTGCACCCAGGAAATATGGGGCATTCTATTTTAGAGCCTTGCCATCAAAACAAAACCCTTGGGAAAGTCACCTATCGCTGTTTCTTATTGGCAACTGACAGGTGTTCGTTTCAATAATAAAGTGATTTAAATCTAAATCTAGTATACCCTTGACTAGTAACAAAGGAAAATCAAGTTTGGCTGAATAAAATGTCATATAAGTTATAAAATCAATTAATATGAGTGGACCTAGGCTAAAGCGATCAAATCCGTTTCGAAAACTTTGTATTTGTCACACGTTTACTTCTTATCAATGATCTATGGTGATAGTAGGACCCACGCGCCACATATTCGTCTGGAAAGTCGGGCTAAAGTTATTAATAAACCATGTTGGTAACAAATGGATTTACTTTACATACTCATGGCTTGTGGGCATGATTTACTTAAAGTTATTCTACCTTTTCATTTAAGTAGGTTGTCTTAAGATTCTGTTTGTTAATTAGTATTAAATCTGACTTTACATTACGTTAAATTACCCCCCACAAACTTGTAAACAAAAAACAGCAATGGAAAACGCAATTCAATTTGGCCTATCAGAACAGTAATTTTGCCAATAATTGATCAACTGGGCTGAAAGGCATTAATATATAGATAGATAGGAAATTGGAGATTCCAGAAGTGTTGGAATTTCTGCAAATATTTCGAGTCTACTCACAATGATACTGAAGATAGAGCAGCAAGCCAAAGCCAAGTTGTGATATGGTCATAGGTATCTGTCGAGACGATAAAGAAAATATATATAATTAATGTGTATAAGTAGAGTATACTCGTATAATAATAATAATAATAATATAATATAAATACTGATATCTTATTATATTGGTTTGTTTATGATTTAAATTTTGAACTGCCGGATGAAAGGTCATATCCTATTCAGATAAAACTCTGCCAGCTTATTGCTTCCACTTCCCGGAAGTATTTCCGCATATTGTTTATCGGGTAGAAAGAGTTTTCATTATTCTTTTCTTTAATCTCAGGCTGGTCAATGGTATTAAAAACTTTGATTGAAAACAATAAGACGGGCAGGAAGACTGCAACGACTGTCCAAGTATCAGGAGTCTGACCTAAGTTGGACTATCTATGCTAATGGACCCATTTTAAGCCAGCTCGACCATAAGATGATACGATCAACAGCTGATTGTTAATTGCCTTCTCAATAAAGTTTGTTGTAGAACATGCATCAATATATAACATATATACAACCATAATTAACAATTTAAGGAGTTTGTTACATAGAATCAATGAATTGTTTCTCGGATTGTAAACAGACTTATCCTTACGCACCAGAAAGTGACAAATACATATTCTAAGCAAGTGTATTGATAAATATTCTTACTTAGAATCTATGCCATAGATAACTACTCATTTAAACTTATTTTCTAACAAATAAAAAGTTACTAAACAACCAAAAGCTGTGCTTAACACCTTTTTTTTATTGCATGCTTGAGAAAGTTAAGTGAAAACACCTTAAGAGGTGAGCTTGGAGCAGGAGACGATGTTCTGGGGGAACTCGGTGTAGTAGGCGGTCAGGGTGTTGACTGCATCGCTGACACAGGTGACGGCATTTGGTCCGGTTTGCGGGATCTTCTTGGCTAGAGCGATGGCATTTTCGACCTGCTTCTTTAGAGACCAAACCTTGCGCAGAGTCTTCACAAAGCAGCTGTTGGTGATCTTGGCCTGTTCGCCATCCACTTGGGCGCAAGTCTTCGACTTCAGATTGATGATGTCGTCGCAGGTGCTGAGGATCTTTTTGTTGGCATTGATCAGATTGGTCACGTCCTGGCTAGCAGTGACTCCGCAAGAGAGCACGTTCGTGTTGAACTGCGTGGCACTGCTCTGGATACCTGCCACCCACTTGAGGACGCAATTGAATCCCTTGATGCTGCGCAGGGCAATCTTGAGGGAATTGTAGATAGCACCCAGAGCACTGAAGTTCTCCACCTCCACATTACCATCGGTCAAGTCGGTCAGTTCCGGCGAGGAGTTCTCGTTGGAATAGGTCGTCACCGTGGCGTTAACCTGGATTTTTAGTGATTTGTTATTTGTATTAACTAAGTCATAGTTATTTTATAGTTGCTATCTTACGGCGAGAAGGCACAGAGCCAAGGCAAGAATGGTGTACTTCATATTGTCGTTGCTTTTAACAAACTATGAAAAGGCCTTTACCATTGTGGGCCTTTTATATCGTCTGATTCCTTAACCCTCTACTATCGACCTTGTTTTTAAGCTCTTTAAAATACGTTAGTTAATCTAATAATTCTAAGGCAATTGTGTTGCACAGCCGTTGGTTGTTATACATGTAATATAATCCTTAAAATTTAAATACATTTTTAATTCATTTTCCCACATATTTTGTGTAGTAACAAAAGGGTTAAGACCAAATTCAACTTGAGCTAGTCACATTGACGCCCCGATAACGCCTTAAGCCGATTGATCAATTGGACATCGAATTTATCTATCAGAATATTTAGAAACCCGACGAAAAGGACAGACCGCACTTATCTATAGATAACGCTTGGCCTTTAATGACTATATCAGTTTGGTGAAAAGTAGTTGGTCTTCCAAACATATTATTAGGCGGACTTTCTTATTAGAAAAGCGTTACCTTCAAATTATGTTGCTTACTTTTCGGCTGAGAATGAGTTTTTGCTATAAAATTATAGGAAGTATACAAATTATGATGCCTTCGTTTCGGCTATTATTATTAAACTTAGAATAAAATGTGTTTTTTCTAGATATCTGAGTGATAAAATGCTCCTTTCTACCATAATTACTTTCTAATCTTCAAATCATGACACAATAATTATCGTTTTCCCTTACAATAAATCGTAAAATTCACAATTTATATCAGTTTACACCATGACAACATACTTTGTTCTAATTCCAGTTTTATAGCGTTAAAATCAACGCTGGAGAACTAAAAGGCGATCTGATTTAAGTGCCCTTCCACTCGATTTGTGTGCCACGTGAGAAGCGTCTTATCTGATAAGCCGTTCGATTAGATGGAGGGTTGGAAATACTAGAAACCTTATCGACATGGCTCCATATAAGCAAAGCCTTTGCTGTTCATATCTGCCATATAATTGATTTCCAAGGAATACATTATATGGGAATATAAAATAAAATGGAGTGTTAGTCATCGATAAGAAGCCTTTCCTGATCTCATGCTTGGATGAGTCCTAAATGTGATTCAACCTTAGTTATGATTTGAATGCGAAATTCTACGAGTTAAGAACTTAAAATATAATAACATAGCTAAGCATTTTAGCTAGAATAACAATAATAACATAAAAATAAACACAATGTTGATGGGTCACAGAAATATACAATTATGGAATGAGCAATGTTTTGCTTTTACAAATAAAAAATAAACAACTCAACTTCAGTGAAGTACATAGAGTAGAAAACAAATAGTGTAGACATAATAGAGTAGTATATAGACACATTTTTGTTTTACATAATGTCTTAAATGAAACATTTAATATTTTAGTACTTTTTTTTTTAGATTTACTTTATTGTTTTACTTGTATTATGCATATAGTATTACTTCATCTTTTTCTTATTTCGTTTTCGTTTCTTCTCTTGGATTTGTATGTCGCCTCATTGCACTAAAAATGTTTGTTGCTGCCCTCTCTTTCTACGCCGTGTTGGCGCCGCCTATTGCCACCTCGCTCTAACGCACTTAAACGCAAAATTATACAAATATGTAAAAAGAAATAGAACAAACACACGCGTTGGAAAAAAACATAAACAAAAGCGGCTTACAATTATTTGCAAAAAAATATATATATATATTAAATACAAAATTATTTACTCTTTACTCTGTTTGTTGTTTTGTTTTTCATTATCTTTTGTTTCTGGATATATTCCCGGTCCCGATCTTCGTTCGTTACTCATCTCCCCTTCTTCAGGCAACGCATAACGCATTTATGCAAAAATATATATATCGATTTATGTAAATATATGTTATGTATATAGGCGCATATCGTAATCGTATATAAATATATATGTATATATTACAAAGTTAATTGTTTTCATTGTGTTCGTCGCAATGTTTAATATTATAATCCTCTTCTATCCCTCTCTCTCTTTCTTAATCTTGCACGCTCAACTTTGTCGCCTATTCATTTCTCTCTTTCTTTTTGTTTGTTTCTTTTGTTTCCTTGTGTTAAGGAAAGGATCTAAAGCGGAAAACGCAAAACCTCTATTTATAAAATAAGGTTAAAGTTGTATAATTACACAATCGTTAAACAAAACTAATAAAGAAACACCTCTCTCGCCGGGCTCGAAAACAGATGCGCGCGCGACACTCTAAAATCTGTTTGCTTAATTACAATAGGGGGGAAACTGATACTCGTACTCAAGTATATAATATATAAATATATAATAAAAAAAAATTACAAAAAGTAATCGAAATTATAAAAAAAAAACACAAAAATGTATTGGTAGCGCGAAGGAAGGAACGCAATCGAATCGAATAGAGTAGTAATTAGTAATTAGCGAATACGACAAGTCTACGTATTTCCCACTATTTTCTTCTGTTTTCCTCTGCTTTCCCCTTTCAAAATCCCATCCTCTTGTTTATGTATAATTGAGTTGCGGCTGCCGTGGCGCCTAATTGCTGTTGTTGGCGGAGCTGTTGTGGTTGTTCTGGTCCACGCTGTCCATGTTGGGAACGTAGTCGAGGGCCATCATGCAGGCGAAGACGGTCATCACCATCTTGGGCTTCACCTCGGTGATGTCCTCGGGCAGGGCGTAGACGCGGGCACCAATCTTACGGGCCATGGAGATGGCATACTTGGCATTGGCCAGGTTATCCTGCGGATTAGTTAGTTGGGGCAATTAGTTTAGTTGGGGCAATGGCCAGGTCAAGACACCGAAACTTACCTCCTGCGTGCCGCTGGTGCGCACCAGCTCGTAGTTGATGCTGCCCTCCTTGATGGCATCGATCAGATCAATCACGATCTTGCCATCGGCTATGGCCGGGTCGTTGAAGTTTCGCAGCTGCGACTGCTTGCCAGCGTCCGACAGTCGGTTGTTCACCCACTGGACGATCTCCTTCTCGATGATTGGGTTGCCAGTGTTGGCCAAGCGGGACAGAATGGACAGGGTGTAGGCGCGCATCAGCTGCCAGATGAGAGCTATAAACACAGATTTACATTAGTACTTTATATAACAATATAGAAAACAATAAGTGGAAAGCTTACCCAACGTCAGTGTGGCATTTCCATCGTTAAGATCCTGGCCAGCGATTCCGACCAGCGAGAATTTCAGCTGCTTGCCCAGATCCACGGCGTAATTGCAGTTCTCCAGCTTTTCCATAAACTTGCGCAGCGGGCTGAAGCGCTTGTGCACGCGGTTCCAGTTGACGATGCCCGGCTTGATGACGTCGAACAGCTGGAAGATGACGAGACCATCGGCCAAATCGGAGTACAGCCAGTTCACATGCGGCGCCACTCCCATCGAGTTCATCCAGTTGCGGTAGGCTAGAAAATGAAGAAGATATAATTTAGTTAGTAGAACTTCGTATATAATTCCTTGTTCCTATGAAAACATGGAGACTACATTTCCTTCTAAGTTTATATACTCGCATGATCTTGGGAACTGCAATTTCCAAGTTTTTATGGCTCACACTTCCTGCGCATAGTTTGTTGATAAAATATTATCTTTATAATTATAAGAAGTGATTTATTTATGCTATAAACTGACGCCTGCCTTGTTCTTTGGTATTTGTATTTCTTTAAAAATAAACTTCAGTTCTTGACTAAAAAGTCATTACTTGTAATCTTTTCAATGCTAGTTACTTTTTAACTGCCATATATCTTGAAAGTTATATAGATACAATGCCTGAAAGATTGTTAAGACTATTTGTAATACTTACTCTTCTCCTCACGCGTCTCCTCAATGGATTCGAGTCCCTCGATCTGCTCGGGCTTGTCCAATCCCGGGTGGTTGTTGAACAGATTGGCAACGAAGGCCAGATTGAGTTTGTAGACGCCATTGACGACATCCTGTGGCGTGAGGAAGCTGCGGCAGTTAAGCTTGGCGGCCTGCTGCAACATGATCTCCGCACGCGATTGCAGATCAGATTCCCGCAGAGCATCCAAATTGACATCAGCATCATTCCCGGCAATCTGCTTCAGCAGATGCGAATAGATCTCGGAATCAACGATGTCTGACTGGAAGTTGGTGCACCGCCTCGAGATGCCGGCACGCTCCAAATGATGGTTAACCCAACGCAGGAGAATGGCCTCCGGCGACATCTTCATCAGATCCTCCAGACGTTCGTTGTCGAAGAGAAGACCAGCCAGTCCCGGACAGCTGTCCAGGGTGATGTGGCTGAACAGACCGATGCGGATGATCTGCCAGAGGAGACCCAGCACAAGATGTGGCTTGCCCTTGGCCAGATCGTGGGCATCGATGTTCACAATGTTGCAGCCAATTGCCTGGGAGGAAACCAGGGCCAGGGTCAAGTTCTCGAACTCCCGGTAGACGGTGAGGTTCTTCTTGTTGATCGCCCGCTCGTCGATTGTGTCCGGGCAAGAGTGGTTGATAATTTTGCACAGCAGAATACCATCCTTGATGCTCAGATACAGACGCTTGCCCTCGCTGTCGATAGGCAGCAGATGCTGCAGATCCTTGTCATGGCCCAGATTCGAGTTGATCCAGTCGGAGAAAGCCAGCTGCTCCTCGAGGCGCACAGAATGGGTGGTGCCCTCCGACGAGATGCTCGACATACCGCCAAGAGTCTCCAGATTCTCCTTCTTGGAGACGACCGTCTTGAATGTGCTGGCCACATCCTTGCTCTTCAGGTCCAGGCAAAGTGCCTCGAACTCCTCCAGATTCAGCTTGCCCTGGAAGGCGGTCCGCTGTTTGCTCTTGTACTCATCGATCATCTCGCGGACCTGGTAGCCGGCCAGCTTGAATCCGACCTGGTTGAGCGCATCCTTCAGCTCGTGCAGGTCGATGAAGCCATCCTTGTTGGCATCCAACTGGAAAATGAAAAGGATTTCAGTTAGTACGAATCTTCTTTATCAGTTTAAATAATTATCAATGAAATGGCAATCCCAAGCCTAGTCTCATCATCAAAACAAACAACTGGTGACCTCTTAATAGCTTCTCTTATTCATTAGTTTGCATAGCGGCCTTCTCGGAACTGAAAAATGACTTAAAAGGGCACAGCGATCGAGAAAGAGGAGAGATCTATGAGTAATCCTCGGCCATGAGTAAGTGGTCCGCCGATCGCCCCGATCAATCGGTGAGTCATCATCAATCAAATCCGAATGCCAAACACACAGCCGCATTCCAGTGGCCCCGCCGCCACCTGTTTTCATATACGGAATGTGGTATGCAAAATGATATTTCCCATCTCCCGCTACCTTATCGCAAATACCGCCTCTTATCGAATTCAATTTCCACTTTTCAGTTTCCACTCTTCGAGCTGCACTATCTTTCACCTGACTGACATATCGCTGATTATCGAAAATTGCTCGCTTCAAATTATACAGTTCAAAAGCGTGAGTGGGCGCCGCCAGAAAAATAAAAGAAGAAAAAATTAGGAGCCCCAATAATTGAAGAGTCTTTGGGGGCAGGAAAAAAACTATAGAAGTGAAAGCCTAAACAGATTTTTGTAAATCACCCGATGAATCAGTTTGTAAATACTTGAAATTAAGTTCCTCTCTTGATTATTTCTTGCCAAATTCAGTGACTAAGAGCTAAGCGTTTAAATACTATTTGAAAGCCAAATGTTTTCTCTTTTTCTTACGGTAAGGAATCATATTTATCAAACTGCTCGATTTAATCAATAAATATATAACTCTGATTATCTGGTTTTCACAAGCTTTCAAGTTATTAGTCATATTTAAAGGCTGAACGCAATTATTGGTCAATATGCTTGAAATATTTTAGATAAGGACAAGCTTTGCCAAGCTCTAAAGGTTTCGCTTTGAGGATTTGCAAGACAATGTTCTACGATTTTGGTTTGAATTATTATTAAATCTATGCTTTTCAAACTTGTTGTTACCCATCCTTAAAAGATTTAAAAATCTGTAATTTATAAGATTTATAACTTTACTTATGGACAACTAACCTTACTCAATACTAAGAAGGTTATATACTAAAAACTTAGATTTTATCCTGAAATATGTTCATTAATGTCATGAGTTGACCACCTAAATCATAACACATTTCAAAAATCCTTTATCTAAACTCTCTAAGCAAACATTGGGCTAAGCTACCCCCCAATAATGATCAATGTTTGTCCAATATGTTTGGTAGTTAACCTTCCCAAAGCCGCCAGATTGTTGCGAATTTCCTGGAACCCAACCCAACCCAAGCAGAAATCCAAAATTGGGGAAAAACCAAATATTTAGCCGGGCGGTGTCATAAAAGGTAAGCATTATTTTGTTGCCATTTAACGTATGCGAAATAGGGAAAATCGATGGGGGGAAAATAAGGAGCCAGGTGGATGGACTGATAGACTGGACTGTGGAATTTATGGCTCAGTGGTTGGTAACGCCGCTTTGGTAGTGGTGCGTTGATTGCTCCGCTTTTGCTGTTTGTCGATAAGATAAATTTTTGTTCTGTGCGCCAAAAAGCTAACATAAAATCGAAAAACAGCACTCGATTACGTATATGGTAATGATATGATGGACGGTTCTTGGGTTGTCGGGTTCTCGAGGGGGGGAGACAACCATGAAGCCATCGAGGGTGTTGTCCTTGGCCAAAAACGAGGCTATATCGAATATATACTGATAGGTGGGAAATACTTTTGGCCAACATATGACTGACATCGAACGGAAGTGATTTTGATTTTTGCTATATTTTTGCAGGAGGGGGTGGGGTACTGCAATGGGTCAGTTTGGGGCGCGTGCTCTTTATCGGAGGTGTTCACTGTAAAGGCCCTGCTTATGGGTATTGGTATGCGTGTCACCTGTCGGTGTTATCGATTAAAAAGCCATAAAGTGCCCCGAGAAAAAGCGATAGGGAATGAAAAAAAAAAAACCACAGACATACCAAAATCGAGAGGGAGTGATTACGTGAGTTGTGAGTAATAAAAAAATACATTTCGCCTATGTACGGTTTTTGTTACTCAAGGGAGTAAATTAAAAAATTAAATGTTTTAAAAAAAAAAACTTCTTTCCGGTTCCTTAAGCTTGAAGGCGTTTCAAAACTAATACCAAATCTTTGAACTCTTGGTTATCCCCAATCTCTATCTAACTTATCATTTTCTTCAATATATGATAATTTGCTTTAGCGGTTATCCACTGTAGCTGCTGGAGTGGCGCCACCTACATTGGGAATCATCTCCTCGAGATTCTGCTTGAACTCCTCGGTGGTTTGGTGCTGCTCCACGTTGATAATATCGGCCATTATTCCAATGTATATTTGCACTCGGAATTAATTTGATTATTTACTAAATTCCTTCTTGTTTTCGTTGCAAAAATAAACAAACAACAAAAAATTAATTGATTTGCACACAGATACTATAGTACACACACACACAAACAGAGCCACAAACACAAACACGCGAGATAGATAGCGCGTGAGAAGAAAAGAATTGAATCGAGAGAGCGAAAGAAAGACGACGCGAGAGAGCCAAGGATGCGAGCTTTTACTTTATAAGATACAACAACTCCTTTCTTTCGTTCTCCTTCTTGGGTCTTCTTGCTTTCTTTTTCTTTTTCCTTTACCGATTCGCTTTCCACGAGCTAAAGCTGAGTACTAATTGAGTGTTTCAGTGGAGCGGACTATTTATGCCTTTTCTTTTATCACACAAAAGAGGCGAAAAAACACACAGCACTCCAATCGAACGGTTCCTTATCAGTGACTGAGAGCGGAGCCAGAGAAACCAGAGAGAGGGAGAAGAACACCTTTTTAAAAAACGCGTCATCCTGAATCACAAAAAGAACGGGTTGATAAAAAGTTACTCACTAACTACCACAGCTGGGATAAAATAGAGCCAGAAAGTAGTGCGGGAAATCTGCAGAAAACATTTAATAAAACAAGTTCTTAACTGATTTTTCCACTCTCCTCGTGGAATTGATAAGGTCCACTCTTTGTTATAATGCCGTTCTTCGGCGATAAATCAATTTGCCACTCTCTTTTTTCGCTTATTCTCAGGTGCGCTAATAATTACAGGGTTGCCAAGTAGTCATAATATGCAGGTTAATGGGAGGTCCTTTAAAGGATTCAAGCATTTAACCCTTCAAACATTTTTCGTTTTCAAGAAGACATCCTTTAGAAACTAGTAATATTTAAGTGGAAATTTTCTAAGAAAGAAACTATAAATAACTTTAAATTAAATTCATAACTATCTTCCTTGAAAACACTATTTAAATTTACATAATAAGTACAGTCACAGTGTTGATTCATTTATTAAACAAATAAACAACTTTTATGTTTTGCTGGAATGAATTAATGTAATCACTTATAGTTGAAATTTCGATTTGAGTCATCGACTAATATTCGGATTCGCCAGTGACGTGGCAACCCTTTTCGCAACATTCTCAAGAGCCCGAAATCGCTGTCAACAAATTGCTTACGCATCAAAAACTTTTTGGTTAATTGCAATACAACTTGACTGGTAAAAAACTTACAGAGATAATGGGAAAATGAGCGTAAGAAACGAACTGAGAGAGGTGGAGGGACACGGTATTTAAACGTAATTGGTTTTTTAATAGCCATTGTATCAGCGAACGAATTATGTGGCAATTGTCATTTCGGTTAGGTTATAACTTGTAGAACATAAATCTAATTCCATTCTGATAATGAAAGTTCGTGACGCGATAAGACAAGGAAATGCGATAGTAAACGTTTAGGACTTCCTCTACAACATACAATTGGGGGGTTTACTCAAGGAACGCAAAGTGATTTTCTTAAAGGAGTTCCGATTCAGGAAGCTTAACCAAAAGGAGGGTACTTTAGGTAAGTAAGCACCGCTCTTTAAGCCCATATTAATATCTCATATTTTATAGTTATTTTCTTTCAGTACATCTAGACACCATGGTCAGTAGTATTATCGATCACTTACCCGCGATGACTAATCGCTGGACATACAAAGACTTCTGTTGTCTGTCCGTAAGTGGTGCCACTCCCCGATCGACCGATATATCGAACTAAATTGAATAAACCCAGCTGAGCAAACTGCATCTTTTGTTTTTCCCTTTTCCCGCGATGATAAAACAGTTGTGATTACATAATACCATCTGCTTTGCGCAAGTGCAGCTGCGCTTAGTAATAGTATTTAAGTTATCAGATTGCACACGATCTGTTTTCGAGGAAAGAGCTAAATGCTAAATGCGTTCTTTATATAAAATAATTTCCATATTATTGATTCATTTTTCAGCAAATTGTTAAGTTAAGCTGTATACATTTACCAGTCATTAACCCTACTGAACAATGTTAGCCTCCTCAATAATTAACCCAAATTGTTATGATTTAATAAATATTTACCACAGTCCATGAGTTGAGTTTGTTTTACCCGAAGTCAATAATAAATTGCGCATAATTAACACCTTGAATTCCTTCCTTTAACAAAAGCAAGAATCTTTTCTTTGGATTTTTCAATTTGCTATAAGGCACTTCGAAGTTGATTTTTACTACGAGACCAGCTGTAGGAAATCAAAGACCAGAACCGCACACGCCTGACCCCAAGCAACTTTCTACGGGTTCACTTTTGGTGTCACCGATGTTTGCTAACCCTTCACCTGCCTCTTTTTTCAGCACTGCGAGAAAAGTTAACAAATACGTAAAAGTTAAATTGTTATTTCTATAATATTTTTAACATAATGTAAAACATTTGTAAATTAAACTTGAAAAAGATTTTTAAACTTTCTCAAAACATATTAAATTCCCTAATAGTTAGGCTAGTATTTCTACAAGTGTAGCTTCTCTGCTTTTTATTTTTGGAACCCAGAAGAGAACTTAGGCGGCAATCATAATTATGACAAACAACGCGCGAAATTTTTGTTAATGAACGTTTTTCCTTGTC